GAGAAGCAGACTCCCTGCTGAGCAGGGAGCCTGATGCGGGACTCAATCCCGGGACTCCAGGATCATGACCTGAGCCGAAGGCAGTCGCTCAACCAACTGAGCCACCCAGGCACCCTGCAATTTATATTTTAACCAAAGGTTATCTAAGCCCTAGAGTCTGTTGTTGCTCAATGATATGTGATAATCAAACTAGACAAAAGAAAGGTTTTTAAAGGCAGAGAGCATTAAAAAAAGGAGACAGGAACTTACTATCAAGAAATGCATTGCTTAGGCAAGGTTGCCCTCCTAAGGGGATGGAAGGTTCCATCCGTAAATTTTCCAATATTGACCAGGAAATTCCATGTTGACTGATTAAAGGTCACATTCCTTAGGGAGCTGAAACTGCAGTTAGGTTTTAAGTCTTGGTTTACTGACTTGGGGGCCTTAAGCCAGATGATGCCATGTGGGGCCTGTGATTTTCTTTTTAACAGATCCATTTCTTTAATTTTAAATATTTTTCTTCTGGGGGAATTTCTTCTGGATGGCTCAGTTAGTTAAGTGTCCGATTCTTGATCTCGACTCAGGTCATGGTCTCAGGGTTGTGAGATCAAGCCCACGTCGGGCTTTGTACTCTGCAGGGAGTAAAACATCTGCCCTAGATTCTTTTCCTCTCCCTCTCCCTCTATTCTTCCCTCCTGCTCTCATGCTTTCTCTCTAATAAGTAAATTAATCATTTTTTTTTTTAAAGATACTTCTTCTGGAAAAAAAAAAAAAAAGAAAGAAAGATATTTCTTCTGAGATATGTCCAGAGGTTGAAGAAGACATTTTGGCATTTAATTTGAAAATGTAACTAGCATACTTTATTTATTATTTTTTTCTAGCATACTTTTAAAAAATAAATTCATCCTATAGTTCTCTCTTTCTGACCTCAGTGTATACCATATGGGATTTCTCAAATATTTTCATTATGGAGCCTTTGTCATATGGATCATTTTCAGGGTCTAGTGTTTCTTGGAACATACTTTGGGAAACATAGGTCTGGCCTTAAAATATTCCTCAATTTCATTTGACTATTTCATGAAGCAGTTTTCATAATAGAGGAACGATATTTCATATATTTGCTGTGTCTTATTCACTGGTAGATTTTGGTTTGATAATACCAGTTCTATCAGTCACCAGTTCCGTGACTAAGCTTCACAGTTTTTGTGTCTAGAATGGAGATAATAGTAGAACTTACTTCTTAGGGTTGTTGTGAGGATTAAGGCAAATCTTCCATGTAACACATTTAACATAGTGCCTGGTACAGAATAAATACTCATTAAAGTTTGTTATTATAAGGAATTATATGTGTGTATGTTCCTCCCACATTTTAGAGATGAATGGTTTATCTTTTGGCCTTGTTCTTCAAATTTTCTTAGCAGGAGCCACATGTCTGGGTGCTATATTAAAATTTTAATAAGAAAGCCACTAATTGTTTTGTAGTTTTTTCCAAACAGAAAATGGCTAGAGAACCCATCTGTAGCACTTACTCTAATAGCTTGCATTTAGGGCTCTCATTTACCTTTGTATTCTGTAGCAAAAGTGTGTTTCAAGAGCTAAATCATTAAGAGCTAAAGTATCTGTGGTTAGGCTGTTGATGGCTTCAGAGCGCTTGAGGGAAGAATTCAACCAGTCCCTGAATTGCACATGTAAACACTCATGCCTTGAAAATTGCCAGGCTTCTTGAGAATTATATATCACATTTCTAGTCAGGCAGTTTCTTGTAGTTTACCTGCATATTTATTGGAACTTGTTCAACAGTCCATGTGTATCTTGTCTGTTCTATAGTGGAATCAGCAAGTAATAACTGCAGGCAAAATAATGAGGGCCTAGTCAAATGAGTTCGAAGTGGTTGAAATAAATTGGTGATAACTGTTTAGAACCACCAGTCAGAAGTATATCCTTTAGCATTTTTTTGCAGTGCAAGACTGCTGGCAACAAATCTCTCAGCTTTCCTGTATCTGAAAAGAACCAGAGGAAAAAAATACATAAATATACGGCTGTTTTCAAGAACTGTAATATGAATGATGGACTTCTAATCAGGAACAAATAGCAAGATGGTAGACAGGCAAAATGGTTTTAATTTTTATAAAGATATTTTAGAGGGGTGCCTGGGTGGCAGAGTTGGTTGAGCATCCCACTCTTGGTTTCAGCTCAGGGCTGTGAGATTACAGGGTCATGAGATCCAGCCACGTGTCGGGCTCTGCCTGAGAGCATAGAGTCCGCTTAAGACTCTCTCACCCTCTCCCTCTGCCACCCCACGCCAACGCAATCTCTCTTTCTTATCTCTCTCTCAAATAAATAAATATTTTTTAAAAAGAAATTTTAGAATTATTGATTTTTCTTTTCTTTTTTTAAAGATTTTTTTTATTTATTTGAGAGAGAGAAAGACCACGATGGGGAGGGGCAGAGGGAGAGGGAGTCCCAAACAGACTCACAGACTCACACTGATGCAGAGCGCAATGCTGGGTTTCCACTAGGGGCTCAGTCTCAGGACCCTGAGATCACTACCTGAGCTGAAACCAAGAGTCAGATGCTCAGCCGACTCTGCCACCCAGATGCCCCTCAATTTTCCTTTTCTAATTGCTATGTAAATAACTAAGAGTAAAGCAAATACTGTTTAAGGTTTTAACTAAAGAAATGCACGAATTGGAGATTAAACAACATATTTATAAAAATAGACATGGATTAGGTGACAGTTTACGTATGTATTGGGTTTTTTAACTGCTTTGAAACTTTGATTTCAAACTGAATACTTAAGTCCTCATAAGTAGTTGGTTTCACATGACAGTGGCTTAAACATTTTATATTTGTTTTCTCTATAATTTTATGCCTTTATTTTACTTAGATTCCGTGATACTGTGATTAATGAGATATTTTTTAAATTTATAGCTGTTTAAAATAGAATTAATGCCAGTTTCAAAGGGAGAATGATTTTTGTTGTTGTTTTTGTTTTTATTTATTTACTTGAGAGAGAAGAGTAAGAGGGAGGGAAGGAGAGAGAAAGAGTACAAGAGGAGAGGGAGAAGCAGACTCCGTGCTGAGCAGAGAGCACGGCACCGTCCCAGGACCCTGAGATCATGACTTGAGCTGAAGGCAGTTGCTTAACTGACTGAGCCACCCAGGGACCCTGGGAGAATGATTTTATTACATATTTTCTTCATAGTTGTGTACATAGTAAACATACTTGTTTACTGAGCTTTGTTACAGTTAAACTTATAGCATAAACAGTTTTTAAAATGTGGTCACAGGGCCATCATAATTGCAGTTTTTGATGACTATATCATATTTTGTTACTTATCCACTCCTCTGTTGTTAAATAGGTAATTTCTTTCTTTCTAAAGTCTATTGTAGATAATACTATTGTTATTGTTGTACAGATAGAATATAATTTCTTTTTGATTTTGTCTTGGATAAATTCCCAAGATTTATGCTTATTGTATTCTATTCTAGTTATTTATTTTTTAAAGTAGGCTCCACACCCAACATGGGGCTTGAACTCATGACCCTGAGGTCAAAAGTTGCATGCTCCACTGACTGAGCCAGCCAGGCACCCCCATTATGTTTTAATTTAATTGTATGTTTTATTTTATTTTAATTAATTAATTTTAATTAATTAATTAATGGTAACTTATTTTACATATAATTTTACTTGTATAGTGTTATTTTGTGTGCCGGAAAGGTGAAGTAACTGGTTCAGAGTCCCATAGATAATAAGTAGCTGAGCAGGCTAGCTCCAGAGATGTGCCCCTTACAACTTTGCTGTGATATCTCTTTTGATACATCTTGTCAGTTAGCTCTCAGGTTACACTTATTTGCAGTCAGTTTAGCCACAACTTACCAGTATTGGATGATACATTAAAAGAATAACATTAACCAATTTAATAGATAGAAAATCATATACTTCTATTCTGTAAAAGTATTTGATAAAGAAGATTAATTTAAAAATATAAAGCTGTAAGTTAAATTTTTGTTCATAAAAAAACTTTTCTTGTTTTTACCATTATAAACTTAAAAATAAAAGGGAAATTGACTAAGACTCTTGCTAAAGGAAATGGTATCTTGGAAATTCCTAGAATGAGTCCTCTGTCTTTAGGGACTGATGACATTGTTAATTACCTTTGCTTCCAAGTATTTTGTTGTAGATACTTAATTGTACAAAAATACCACAGTTTGAGAAGAGTTTTCTATTTGTCAATGATAATTTTTTAAAATTATCTAAAGATAAATGTTTTAAATTCTAAGTGCACTACCTGTTCATAGTTGAAAATTAAAAACCACGCAGGAGGGTGTAAATTAAAAAGTAAAATACTCCCTTTCCCCTAGTACCCTAGTGTCAATTCACTAGACCCATGAAGGGGTGCAGGATGAGAGGCCCCAAAATGTATCATTTGACATAAAGATTATTTTGAGTTAAAAGTAGTAAAAACCCAGCAGATGCAAGAAAAGCTGTCTGCCTCCCCCATAACTGCCTAACTTTACATTGGAAAGGGGAGCCTGCAACGGGGGGAAGAGTACTATTATCAGAGACTCCCCGTTACCTAAGGAACTTGTCTGCATAATAGGACAACCTTGTTTTTCCAAACCCCTCATTTCACCTTCCTGCTAATGAGCTCTCTCCCCTTCGTATCCTCAGGCCCTGTCCCTCTCCTTAGCTCATATAAGTGTCATGTTGCCTCTTTGTCTTTGGAATTTCATGTCTATGTGGATTCTCCATACTTATGCCTATTAAATTTGATTTTCTCTTGTTAATCTGTCTCATGTCAGTTTGATTCTAAGTCCAACTAGAAGGACCATAGGGCAGAGGAAGTTCTTCCTCCCTGACACATGTCACAGCATTCCGCTATCCCATCTGCCATTTATTTTCCAGCTGTAGGTACTATTAACTATTTGTAAGAATTTTTTTATATAAAAGTCTAACTTCTCTTTTCTTTCTTTCTTTCTTTCTTTCTTTCTTTCTTTCTTTCTTTCTTGTGGTGGAGCTGTGAATTTTTTGGAATTGTGAATATTCTTTTGAAATATGGAGCCCAACTAAATGAACTTCATTTGGCATACTGCCTGAAGTATGAGAAGTTTTCAGTATTTCGCTACTTTTTGAAGAAAGGTTGTCCGTTGGCACCGTGGAACCATATTTCTGAATTTATAAGTCATGCGATTAAAGCACAGACAAAATATAAGGAATGGCTGCCATCTCTCCTGCTCGCTGGATTTGACCCACTGAATCTACTGTGCAGCTCATGGTAAGAAATCCTACCATAATGAAACTTTTCCTTTTTGAGTGAATATACTACCTTCAATTTCCCCCAATTTCTTAAGATTCCCATGTTGGGAGAAGGGCGTGTGTGTGTGTGTGTGTTTGCACATGATGGCTAGGTTGGGGTGAAGGAGTTGGGGGCTGCTAATAGTGAGCTTGAATGTAAGAGTCCTAATAAAAGGTAAGAGGTGACTGGAAGGGAGTAGGGGAGGATGGATTTTTGGAGAGGGCTATTTTTTCTACTAAGGCCATCTCTCATGCTCTTAAAAATGCCTGTGACAAAATGGTTGTAGCTGCTTTGGAGATGTCTTTTTTTTTTTTTTTTAAGATTTTATTTATTTATTTGACAGAGAGAGACGCAGCAAGAGAGGGAACACAAGCAGGGGGAGTGGGAGAGGGAGAAGCAGGCTTCCAGCGGAGCAGGGAGCCCGATGTGGGGCTCAATCCCAGGACCCGGATATCATGACCTGAGCCGAAGGCAGACGCTTAACCGACTGAGCCACCCAGGCGCCCCTGCTTTGGAGATTTCTGTTGTCCCTTAGTCTACTAGAGTCAATACTCTTGTCCTATAGCATCTTGTCTATTTGAACTTGGTCTCCCTTAATAAATACTAATTTCTAAGGTAGCTGATGATATATGAAAGTTGAGTCAGGATTTTTCTTGGGCAAGAAGAGGACACTGTTTCTGCCAGCTTCCAGCTTTTGCAAAAGTTTTAAGTGTCTAGATAGAACTGAGAAGGTAATTGTAGCAATGCAAGAACTCTGTTGGCCTGATAAGTTAAATGAGAAAATAGAATGAAAGTCTCCAGGAAAATGGAGGACAAGGATATTTTATAAAATTTCAATGAAACATCTAGATGGCTTCATTTTTGTGCTTCAAAAACTAGCATTCACTAAAATAATGTTTAGTCAAATACTAGATTTTGCATTTCAGCAGAAAAGTGCTTTAAAGATACCTTGTTATTTGAGTTTTTTATTAAAAAAGAGATTCTCTTTGGGGTTCATGCAGGCACCGTTAGTGTTCCCTACTCATATGTTTAGTTTGCACTTTTGGGGACTCCCATCTTTCCCTTGGTGGCTTCTCCATCTGCATATGATGAACAGGTCTGTATTTGGCAGGATCCCAGTATCCCACCTTTTTATTACATCTGAAAGTATATAGAATTCAGGAATTTTTACTAAGTAGAGGTTTTATGCTTAGGGCTGTCATCCCTTTTGATACTGTTTCAGATATGTGGTTTGTAAGGAAAAACTGCTTTCTGGTAGGTTGTTTGAAGAACATAGAAGTAAAAACAAAGTTGAGATACACGTTCTGATTGCCATTTTACGTTTTGTTTATAGCTTTACAACAGGTTGAGTCCCTAATTGTATTTACTCCTTTTCCCACTAGCTGACTAATATCCAGTCGTTTGTCAGATACTCATTGTTGTAATTCTCTCTATATCTTTTCAGTAAAATTTCATAGAAATCCATTGTGTTTTTTAGATAATTGAATGAAATATAAAGATTATTGACGGGGCGCCTGGGTGGCTGAGATGGTTAAGCATCTGCCTTCGGCTCAGGTCATGATCCCAGGGTCCTGGGATCGGGCCCCACATTGGGCTCCCGGTTCAGCGGGGAGCCTGCTTCTCCTTCTCCCTCTGCCTCTCTCCCTGCTCATGTTCTCTCTCTGTATCTCTGTGTCTCAAATGAATAAATAAAATCTTTAAAAAAAAAAAAAAGATTATCGACAATTCATTGAGGATCACTGATCTTTTTTTTTTTTTTTAAAAAGATTTTATTAATTTGACAGAGACACAGCGGAGAGAAGGAACACAAGCGGGGGAGTGGGAGAGGGAGAAGCAGGCTTCCCACGGAGCAGGGAGCCTGATGCGGGGCTTGATCCCAGGACCTGGGATCAGGACCTGAGCCGAAGGCAGACGCTTAACGACTGAGCCACCCAGTATGTGCTTATTTGTCTTACACCCCCTGTACATGTGCATGTGTGTGTATGCACTTACACACACACACCACTGAGATAGAAACACTTGCTAAGGAATGCTCTATCTAGCTATTCACGAAGTTATTTAAGTACCCTTAATTATGAGCTTAGTGAGTTGTATGGTTGTGTTGGGCTCCTGACAGCTAGCAGCAGTTGCCTCTCACCATTCTAGGATTCACTTTCCAACTGCTGCTGTAAATCCAGGCCAGCATGTGGGGTAGCTGTGGACAGCCCTGACAGTGTGTCCGCAGCTTGGTGCTTGTCCTCACGGCACCCACTCTCTTCTCAGCAGTACTCTTTATTTTCCTCCACTGAGGGTACTAACTCGACTCTATTACTTGTCCATTACTTTTGGCCTTCACACTCCCTTCTGGTTTCTGGTTTATTTTTTCTTTAACCAACACTAAGTAGGCACTATTTTAAGTTTGTTACTGTATTAACTCATTTAATATAGAATACAGTAGATACTGTTATCTGTATTTTACAGAGAAGGAAATTGAGGCCCAGAGTGTTTGAACATACTTGCTCAAGCTCACACAGCTAGTTAGTGCTAGAGCTTAGGTTTGAACCTAGGCTGTCCTATGTAGTGTGGCTCAAGTCTGTCTTTCTAACCACTGTCCTCTGCTGCCTTAGTCCTGTGTGTCCACATGGATCCTGTAGTTACATCACTTAATTTCAGCTACCTTAATCCCTTGCCTAACCTGGGGGGGATATATGCCAACTTTTCCTGCTCCTTCCTATTCCTAAATTAGGAAGAACCTATACAGGGAAAAAAATTAAACATTGCCCCCGTTCCTTTCCTCCTCAGCCAATAACCTAGACTGCTGGAAGGAGAGGGAATTATTTAGCTCTGTTCTCCCAGAAGGCTTTGTAAAATATGCTCTTCCATTCCCCAGTCCTGATACAGGACCCTCCATCTCCCCATGTGAATAGTCTGTTTAAGAATTTGTGTGTTATATGGAGTACCCAGGTGACTTAGTCGGTTTTGCGCCTGACTCTTGATTTTGGCTCAGGTCATGATCTCAGGGTCATGAGATTGAGCCCGTGTCGGACTCTGGGGGCTCCAGGTTGGGCATGGAGCCTGCTTAAGATTCTCTCTCTCGGGGCGGCTGGGTGGCTCAGTCGTTAAGCGTCTGCCTTCGGCTCAGGTCATGATCCCGGGGTCCTGGGATTGAGCCCCGCATCGGGCTCCCTGCTCAGCAGGAAGCCTGCTTCTCCCTCTCTCTCTGCCCCTGCTTGTGTTCCCTCTCTCGATGTCTCTCTCTCTCTCTAATAAATAAATAAAATATTAAAAAAAAAAAAAAAGATTCTCTCTCTCTCCCCCTCCCTCTGCCATCTGCTGCCCCCCACCCCAGTGTGGTGCTCTCTCTCTCTAAAAGAAAAAAAAAATGTGTGTGTTATATTTATTGTCATATTTCTGTGTGCTGTATTCATTGGGTGTGTTAGGACAGAAAAGAGTTGAGAACCAGTAAGCTACAAATTATTTTGAAGTAAATTGTAAAACTTTGAACTATCTGAACTGAGAATGCCACTTGCATATATTTTACTCCAAAGGAGTAACTTTAGTCACTTTATATTCATTAGAAAAATACAATGGAAAATTTCACTTTAGCAATGAAAGTGCTTAACATGGTCAAATTTTTGTTCACTGATCTTTTATTGAATGGATAAAGCTAGTGTTTATGCTGAATATGATAAATGTTTTGCTTTCTTTGATCAAATTTACATTCAAAGAGCTGTTACAAGAAAAATTCTCCCATAAAAATTCCAAAATGTTGTTAAAGTGGATTTTGGTTGTATCTTATTTATATCACACGTAAATGTGTTGCTTAATCTTTGTCATGTAAATTATAAATGTCTTTCCTAGTATTGCTTGCCTTAAACAGTCTTAAAAAATGTATCTGGCTGAATAATTGCCTGTCACAGTGTAATCTACAGAGTTGAAATATTTTTTCAACTTTAAATGCAAGACTAGGTACACCACCCCCCTGCCCCTGCCCAAATGTAATAGGTGAATAATAGAAAGTAAATGTCATCTGCGCATTTAGTTGATTAACTGTCACTTGTTTATGATTGTACAACTGCTTTGTACAATGTAATGGTCAATGTAGTACAGTAAAAATACATTTTTAGTGGCATTATCAGCATTGGTAGAATACACTCACCATTATATTAACTAAAGCTGTATAAACAGATTTATTTCTTGTGTGTGTTTAGATAACTGCATAAAAATGACTTTGTGTTTGATCACACTGAAACTTAAAGCACTCTTAAGCAGAAAAATGAAACCATTAAAAAAGAAATAAGGAGCTAGAATTAAGTAACCTTTGGTACAGGGTACTAGAAAGTCAAGGGGATTGTTTGCTTTTGAGTATAATTTATCATTTTATTTATTCTCAGTATTTCCTGATAAGTTGTGATTTCACTGAGAGCTTCCCAAGAAGTAGAATGTTTTCCTAAAGCATTTGTACTACACTTTAAGTTCTTTCTTATATATGCTTGCTTATTAGAGAATTAAGAATTTGGGAAATAATTTTCATACTCTCTAATCAGTCATTTCAAGGACACTTTGACCTGAATTACAAGAATTAAGTTATCTTTGAGATGACATGTTGAGACTATTACTCAATTTCTTTCCTTTCCTTCTATTTTTTCCCCTTCTTTAGTTCTTGCCCAGTAATGTCTTCAAAAAAGCAACCTTGGAAAGAATTTCTGAAGTAATTACCAGAAGCCCTAATCATTTTACTTTTCTTCAAACAATGTGATAGTGTAGGGGAGTATCTAGTTGAGTACAAGATAGGTAATCCTGTTAGAATTTGGAGTTCCCTTTAAGCTGTGACTAAATTTCATGTGTATAATATTTTAAGCCCTATCAAAAATGCAATACAGAAAATTTCAGACCAGTTCTAGTAATAGCAAATATTTATGTAACATTTTTGTCTTAAAACTATGTTTACTATATTGTTTCATATTATTTTCTCCAATACTCCCCTGAAATAGGCAGGTTAAGTAGTATTCTCATTTTAGAGACCATAATCTAGGGCTTAAAGAATTTAGGCAACATGTTTCTAAGTAGGAGAGGTGGTATTAGAAACCAGAACTTTTCTTAGACTAATGCTCTGTTCAGTAGGATTCACGTGCTTAATAAAATTTCGGGGAAGTCTCCTCTGGCTGGGTTGGTAGGAAAAACTTGGTATTATTTTGAAAAAACAGAGGAAGAACTGTTTGTCTTGAACACCTTTCAGTCCTTAAAGACAAAACTTATTTTGGTACATCTTCTAGAAGTGAATCTGTAGTGGGGAAGGTTCCTAGAGGGGAACGATTGTACGTGCCTGAGAGTTGGGCAGAAAAAGGCCATCTCTCGCATATATATTCAGTTTAGAGTTAACTTTGGGTGTTTGGGCTTTATCTTTTCAGGGCTATTAAATTGTGAGTCTGTGAGGGTGACCAGTCTAGGTTCAGCAAGATGGTTCGAGTAGGAGGAGGTAATGGCAAATCCACTGATGACGCTGGTACTGTCTCTCTTTTTCTTACCACTGCTGCTGAGGAATGGGAAGGAAAGTTCCTATCCTCTACAAGTGTAGAGATTCTCTGGTCATTTACTCAATAACTATACACATAGTCGATTCATTTTCTTATAGGAACCTGTAGATGATTATTCGTTTCCACTGAATTTGCCTTCAGTTACACGATTATTTCTATGCCCCAGTTTTCACTCTTCCTTCTATACTGCGATGTTGTAAGAATAGTTGTGTGGTGTTTGTTTTCAGGATGAACCCTCTTGTGTCTAATGGTATGTTAACATCTTGCCAATATAGGATTGACTCGGTCAGTGATGACACCCTTATCTTCACTTTGGAGTTTACCAATTGGAGGAGGCTTCCTCCAACTGTTGAAAAGATGCTCTCCACGCGTGCCTCAAACTCCTCTTGGGCTCTGCAGCAACATATTGGTAAGAAAGTACAATTTTAAACATGTTTCACTACTTTTTCTTCTCTTCCTCCTCTAGCTGTGTTATAATTTTAAGTGATCAGAGTCATTGGAGAACATATATTAAATTGGGCATCATTTGCATTTTCTTTATGTGGGGAAAGGATGGGGCTGTGGTAATGGTGGCGGGGGATCATAGTAATTTTCTTCAACAAAAATCATATCTGATTTGGTAAGTTTAGCTTAAAGGGCATATAACAAAAAATAGGTATTTACTGACATTTTTATTTAATGAATCCTTTTATTTCTAGTAAGGATTGTGAAAACAAAAGTGAGTCCTAAAAATGTTGTTAGTGAATATTTAGTTTGTGATCAGAAAAATGCTAAACCTAATTTTCCTCTTAGGAGTGTGTGTGGATTTGTGTTCTCTCTTTAATAATTTATCATCTCTAAAAGGAAGTATTACCATCCCTTATTTATACCTGTTCTTACTGAATGCATGCCAGTGGGTTGGTATAACTATCAAGGTGAGCTTGGTGAAAATTCTGTGAATTGATTGGTATTTTAAATGACTGTTTTAAAACAAATTCTCAACTTTGTTTCACAAATTAAAATTTTTTAAGTTAGTTAAAAAAAAGCATACAGTAGAAGATTTTACACAAGGAAACCAGTTTAAACTAAACATAATATATTGCAAAGTATTCCTATTTACTTATTCAGATTTATTTTACTTTAACTATATTTTGTTAAACAGATTATATGTCTTAAGTTAGGAAAATTATTTCTTCACTGCTATTTTGCGTGAAATGTAGCTCTTCATAAAACACGTTGAATAGGTTTTTAACAAGTGAACTTATGCATATGTAGAAATGTGTCTTGTAATTTCTTGGAAAATTACATATAAGTAAATTTTCTCAATCAAAAATAGACATTCAGGAAAATACGCTTTTGAACTGAGGTGTATTCAAACTCTTAGAGAGTTTTCTATTGAAGAAAAAAAGTAATGTTTGGAGTCTGAGTCTTTTCATACAGAATTTCTTTAATGATAATGTTGGAAAACTTACTTGCATTTAACTCTTCATGTTGAGAATTGCATCTTCTTTTACTAATTATGTATCTGAAGCAGCAGAGAACAAGTATCTTTTCAAAATAGAATATGGGACAATGGATTTGGGAACAAAAGTCAAATGAGGGAGCATATGCCAAATGGGAAAATTATTGCAGGGTATCAATTAGTAAAGATATGTCAGACTTTACTCTGAAGACTTTAACATATGGCAGGTTTGTCCAGATGAAGGTAAAAATTGTGCTTGAGTACATTACCCTGCAGTAGACTAAATCCATCAAGGGTTTCTTGTTTAATTAGTCACTAGGTAGAGCTTGTGTAGGGTAATAATCAGTATCTCTTAAGAGGATTTTATTTTGGCTGAAGATTTGCAAAAGTCCTTCTCAGAGGTAGTAATGTAGCTAATGCTTTTCTGGCCAACTTCTTGGTTCCATTCCCATGTATCCAACTGCCTTTTGTACATCTCTACTTGGTATCCCACATTTTGACATATCCAAAAAAAAATTTTTTTTTTTTTGACATATCCAAAATTTGAACTTGTCATTTTTCCTACTAGTCCTGCTGTTCCTTCTGTATCCTGGTTTGAGAAGTGGAATGGTTTGGGAGCTACTGACCCAGAGTTGTGAGTTATTCTTGGCAGCTCTTTGTTACTTGTTTCATCAACAGCAGTTGTGCTCAACAGGAATGATTTTGCCCCTGATATTTGGCAATGTCTGCCAACATTTTTTCGTTGTCACAACTGATAAGGGGGCTCTTGTCATCTAGGGGGTAGAGGTGAGGGATGCTGCTAAACATCCTACAATGTGCAGGGCAGCCCTCCATGACAAAGAATTATCTGGCCTCAAATGTCAGTAGTGCTGAGTTTGGGAAACTCATCTACATTGTCTCTTGGGTTGTCCAGTTTTAGGAAGGCCTTTTAATTCCTATCATGGAAAGCCTTTTTAACCCTGTTCTTATTGCACACTACTTAGGAAAAGCTTGCATTCTTCCTCCTAGTTATATTGGTCTCTCAAGGTGTACTTTTATTGGTTCCTCTTCTGCAGGTAATGGGAGCCATTTAATGTCAGATTTTTAGGAAGGCTGAGGAAAAGATATGCCCACCTACTCAGTTGTCTGAATTTCCAGTAGGATTATGCTTTTCTTCCTTTCTGTAGTTCAAGGCTCTCTCTCAATATACTCAGCTTCCCTTTTCCTTTCAGTTTTCAGGACACTACATTTCTTTCTTTCTTTCTTTCTTTCTTTCTTTCTTTCTTTCTTTCTTTCTGTCTTTCTTTCTGTCTTTCTTTCTTTCTGTCTTTCTTTCTGTCTTTCTTTCTGTCTGTCTTTCTTTCTGTCTTTCTTTCTGTCTTTCTTTCTGTCTTTCTGTCTGTCTTTCTTTCTGTCTTTCTTTCTGTCTTTCTGTCTTTCTTTTTTTTTTTTTTTTTGGGAAATGAAGAAGTGAAACTCTATTTGCAAATGTCTTGAGTTTGCTTATAGAAAACCCTAAGCAATAGATGCATAAAAACTATTAGAACTTATAAATGAATTCAGCAAAGTTGCAAAATACAAGGTCAACATACAAAAATTAGTTGCATTTCTGTAAACTGGCAATGAACAATCTGAAAATGAAATTAAGAAAATACTTTCATTTATGATACCATAAAAAGAACTATTTAGTAATAAATCTAACAAAAGAAATATATACTTAACCACTGAAAATTATGAAACATTATTGAATAAATTAAAGAAAACCTGAGTAGATTGGAAAATGTTTCATGTTCATGGATTAGAAGATTTACTGTGGTTAATATGATAATTTCCAAGTCGACCTACTGATTCAATACAATCCATCTCAAAACCTACACTACCTTTTTGCAGAAATTGACAAGCTGGTTCAGAAACCCACATGGAAATTCAAAGGAACCAGAGTAGCTAAAACAATCTTGAAAAAAGAGAACAAAATTGGATGACTCAAACTACCTGATATCAGAACACACTACAAAGCTACAGTAAACAATACAATGTGGTATGATCTATTAATATAGACCAGTGGAATACAGTCTGGTAATAAACCCTTGTATTTTTGGCAAATTGATTTTTGACAAAGGTGCTAAAAACATTCTTTGGGGAAAGAATAGTGTTTTGAACAAACGGTTTTGGAACAACTGGATATGTACATGGAAAAGAATGATGTTGAATTTTTCCCTCAGACCATATACAATAATTAATGCCATATGAATTACAGACTTGTAAGAGCTAAATGTAAGAGCTAAACTTGTAAAACTCTTAGAGGAAAACATAGATGGCCAATGTTTTTAACACCAATGGGAGTGAACCCAGAAAAACAACTCTTGACTTAAATGTATGACAGTCTTGCTTTTACCCACTTTTTCCAGTAACTTATGATGGTAGTAGAAACTACATTGTCAATATATTTCTTTAAATTTTTTGGAAAAGATGCTTCTTGCAGCTCTACGACTATTAGTGAGCCCCCACATAATTTCAGCTCCATAGCTCATTAGGTATGCTAGAATCTATCTTAAGGAAAGAATTTTCTCTTTTTTTTAGGCCCTTTTCAGGTCTTGGAGATGCCATTACTTGGTCAAAACACTCCTTTCCTTACCTTTTTCCTTCATAAGGCAATAGCAAGTTGCTCTGATAGTTTATAAATAAAAAAGACAGCTAGTTCCCTTGCTGCTCATCTTTTAATCATTAAGTCAGATTTGTCTTCAAGAAGTTTTTTTTTGTTTTGTTTTGTTTTTGTTTTTTGTTTTTTTTTGCATTAGAAAGGAAATGTATACCAGGTAAAATTTACTGACTGTTCACAGCTTTTTTTTTTTCTTTTTAAGATTTGTAGTTTTTTTTTTATTTTTAAAGTTTACAGCTTTAATGACAATTTTTTAAATCATGTACCTTATAGATATACCTCTTAGAAACATCATTTTAACCATATAGTAGTAGACTTCTTAATAAAAAAATGTGCCAATCCCTGGCCAGCTGTCCAAGTCTAAGTAATTAAATTCTTAGGGATGAAAGCACTTGGCTTAGTTCATCCCCCTTGTAGTGATTAAATACATATAATTCTATCCAGAGTATTATATGAATCTGGATTCTACAAAGGTTCTAAAAGGGCCCCAGGAAACTCTCTTGATCTATTCATTTCAGTGTTCTGCTGCTTTGTTCTAAAAAGGATTTAAAGTAGTTTTTACATGTAGATTATCACAAAACAGTAAAGCAGAAGTTAAAAGTGAAAGCAAAAGAAAAATGAAAAGTAATTTTGGGGATGGATATAAAATGGAGTCAGGGAGCGCATAAAGCATGATGATCCGAGACTTGTCTGTGGACAGGCTGTAAGTTTGACTCTGACTAAGCTCTCTAGTCATTGACACTAGGTTACAGAGTTCATAATATAAAACAGACTTATTGCTCAGAAGTACTGATATTCTTGGTTGTCATAATGGACAGTTTTCTAGACAATATCTTGACAGCCATGGTTTCTTGGGACTTTATTTTACCAGTCTTCACTGTGGGCTGTTGCTATCATACCAAACTATAATTCAATAAAAGTAGTTCTTAAGGGATCAGTATATTGTCATCCAGGTATTAAGGTATCTGTTGCTCTGACTTGACCAGGGCTGGATTTGTAATATCTGGAGGAGTGGATGACCTATATGTTCTTCAGCAATTCTCTCTAAATAGTGTATCTTTAAACTCAATTTCTTTAAAAAAATTTTTTTTTAATTTAAGATTATTTATTTATTTATTTTCATAATCTGTACACCCCACATGGGGCTGGGACTCATGACCCCAAGATCAAGAGTCGCAGGCTCTTCCATCTGAGCCAGGCAGGCGCCTCTCAACTCAGTAATAGTAATAATAGTAGTAGTTAGCAGTGAATCTAAAATTATACTACCTAAGAAGTATCAGAGAACAAGCTATTTTGTGTTGCAGGTTGAGTTGAGAACATATTTTTAAGA